TATTCGACTGTTTGACGGAGTTTTCTGATTGCTTTATGCTATACTTGGTGCTGCGACTAGGAGATCCAGTGCTCGGAAGTGTCTACGGCTAAGAACTCTGCTTCTTCAATTGGATACGACATTTGTGCCAAAAAGCGAGCTAGAATTCTACCACAATATTTGTAAAAAATTATTCCAAAGAAATGGCCCCACTACCAAAATTACTTCAGGCTTCCTGCCTTCTGAAAATAATTACAAAATCGTCGCAACTTTGTCTTAATTTTTCTGAAAAGTGGGAGACTTACATTTGAGTCCACCCAATGGTAACTATGTAATCCAGTACATTACAGTTCTGCCTGGTAGACTAAAGCCATCTCGTTGGAAATCGAGCAGTATTACCCACGCGACCAAAAGCTTGAACTGCTCACTCGACATATCTTCTTCTATCGACACAAGCTACGAAAGTTTGTACAATTACTACGAACTGAAATTGCTTTCACACCATAGAAATAGCATGGAGTCACAGTAAAACAAACTTAACTAATACATCCGAGTAATCAAGTCATCGGAACCACATGCCTTCCTGAAATTTATCTTCAATTCATGCTACTTAAACTGTCTAAGTTGACGTCCTGGAATGGTTTATCTCGTAATATGCTCTCTTGAGTGTCGGTTAAGTTACATCCAAATGCCATTCGGCATCGAAATTTCGCCGGTTTGCTTGAAAACAGACGAAAGTTCCTATGTGTTGCATTGACCTACTTCCTGTAGCCGCCAACGCATAGACTATGTTCCAACAGCAATGCGGGTATTATTCACATATCCCGCCCTGACAACTTAGGGCTTACCTTCGCCTGCAGACGAGGCAAAAAACGGCATGCGACGCAGCAAAATCTATATTTCAGAAAGTGGCCAATGACAGTAAACCAGGGCTTTACCGCCATACTGCTGACGTGCAGGAACTGCAGGCTTTTGTGCACGTGCAACTTCGTCCCTAGGTGGCCGGCATTTCCGGCGGTGAGATATCCTGGTTCAGTTTAAAAGTGCCCGGGCCATAACAAAAACTGATTGCCAGAGTTATCAAAACAAGGCACTCAAAACAATGTTTCGATCTGCGCACTTATCGCTTGACACGGATACTCCATAATTGTCACAAAGACAGTCAGAAAAACAGAGGCCACCAGGTTATATTAGTAACCACACAAAATCCTGAAAGGTTTCGGAAGCACTTTTAAGGCTGTGATTTGGTTAGCTGGCCAGTGGACACTGCTAGTTTCTGAGCTCCAGACAGCGATCCACACATGGCGGTAACGCCATCGCGTCCTTGATTTTAAATATCAATTACGTTGGTTTATTGATCTCAAAAGCCGAAATCGTCGATCGGATCTTTTCTGTCAAAATCTCAACCCGTCAATCCCGATAACTGTGCTCCATAAACGAAAACGTCGTACGCCTTTGTATAGGCCGAACCACGGGGGTTCGTTTATGCATTACATTTGTCGACGTAAACTTAGACGTCCTTCGTGCCCTTAAGTTATATTTAGTCAAACTCCTTCTCAGACTACCAATAAAAACTTGGGATCGATTTTCACTTTGCAAAATGACAGAGGATGCAAACCGATCCCGACGCATGCATCTCAAAGTCCCCCCCCCGCAGGGATCTGGCAGCGTTTATATCGCGGAAGAACCACTGACTGGCATCAGGTGACAAGCACCCACTCTATCCTACCATCTCAACCATTATACAACAGGGGGTTCAGAGTTCACTCAAGGAATTGAGTATCTGACGCTCCGATTTTCTTGGCTTTCACATCCCCATCACCTGTCAGGTTTTCTTGTTCTCTGTCAGATGGCGCTGTGACTTGGAAAGAATAGTTGTATGATGAGGGAGAACAGACCGTGCATCCAGCAGCGCGGACAGGCCATCCTGGAGGCCCAGTTAGTCATCGCAAACGTGATGCGTCCACTCAGCCCTGAAATGGGGGACAGGCGTACTTCCAGTGCACATTGGACGGTCTGGACAGAAAATGAGGGTTTGTCATTTTTCTGGCCAACCGTCTGTGTACTTTTTTCATTTTTAGATGTAGGCTATCCACTGACCTCACGAGAACAGCAGAGAGGCTAGGCGCCTTGGGATAACAGGCGTGAGTCAGCGTGCCAAGCGCGTGTTATCGCTCTTACACATCCGAATATAATCAGTAGGACTTGGTTAGAATTAACTGCCAAGCATCCTGATGACCAAAATGCCTTTTGATACCGAGACGGCAAATAGAATGCGACAGGAGGACAATATTTCTACAGTAGCATGCACGAGACAGTCTGGCTCTTCAATTTGAACCTCACCGCCTCTAGCGGAACTGAGAATTTTCAGGAGTGGTTTTGGTGACTTACATGAATCGTATTTCTACTACACGTGCCGGACAATCCGAGGTTTGATGAATAAAGCTTCTATCTATTATCCCTCCCATATTTACATATACTAACATGTATTGTCTTATTTGTTTTACGAGGAATGTACCGCGTGATCTTAGAGTAAATCCTTCAGAACAAAACATACTTGCGGGCTAACTGCACCCTTGTAGACTGGGTTGAAATTTTGATCATTGCGTATGGACAGGATGACAGTTCATCTTTAGTACTTGCTTCTAAGAGACACACATATTCACTTATCGCCCAGACTGGGTTGTACTTCCGCCAATAAGACACGATGCAAGATGGCCCAGAATACCGTGCCGCTCGCAATAAAACGACCCCAGTCCTTCAAATAAATGTTTGCAATATGTGCATGAATTTGCACTCGTAAAACTGCACCTCTTTTACCTGGCAGCCTTGGAAAGGAAAATATAATAGAACATTTCTCGACAATGCTCGTGCTCCAGAAAGGGGAGATTCACAGTTCAAATCGCGACCATTCAGCGATTGGTCGTTCCGTTGTAGAGTTGAGATATTGCTGCCTGCTAACCGCTTATAAGCAAACAAATGCTTGTCCAACTACCATCGCCTTTATAAACCACGCATCCTATTCAATTGACTACCTCCCAAGCCACGGTCATTAGCGCACCATGATGGATTCAGGTGCGTCAGATTGTTTATAGAAGAAATATGCGTTGTGTACCGTAGGGCCGAAGTATCAGAGTCGACCTTTCTCTCCTCCCTTTCCCAGACATCAGTCAACTGTCCGAGTATGTCAGTCATCTGATGCAGGAATTGGGGGTGAGTGACTGGCTCGACAGGGCGAATTTTTACAGGTTTTTAAACAAACCTAGTTCAGGAAGTGTTTGTTTGTAAGATGAGGTCATAGACAAGGAGGTTCATCATGCAATCACACGTTCAATTGTTTCGAAAAACCTGCAAGTATTAGAGAAAAGCGCAAAATGAGAATTTTACTCCATCTTCTTCATTTGGAACCCACACCTGTCCTTTTTACTTCATGCCTAGTGCTCCCAGGAGGGCATAGTGTGGATGGTAACTAAATTGTTTCCAAGTCGTCATAATGCTCAGTCCGGAGTTCAGTCGGTATGTTTGACAGCAACCGTAGGCGTCAACGCAGTTGGCCTCTATGAATTATTAGGAAAGTATTTTTACACGGTTTGGTCTCCATACCACTTGCGGTTTAAGCATGCATTTACACTTAACTGGGAAATCTAAGGAATGTTTCCCAAAGGAAACTTGGACAAAATAATTGATTGATCAGAAGAAGAAGCCATCGCTGGAACAATGGCTTTATTGGCCATTAATTGATTATATGTTCAGTTTAAGATCTTGATGTACTCTAAGCCTTTGCTGTCCAAAACAGCAACATCTACTATTGAGGAGTCTTCAAAGAACATCTCAGCAGATGCATATGAGAATTTCCTTTTTCGATGGTCAGCAGTGCACGTCTTTTTAATTTCGTCACGCATAGCAGGACATATACGGAAATCAGGAAATGTAAAATTCACTCGTTTTGTGAGAAACGAAGTGATCGTCTAGAAAAAGAAAGCAGTCTGTATGTGCCTGCTCCTCGCCGGGGAGATGTAAGTATGGAAATGCAGTAGTTGGGAAGAGCCTCATATGCAGGGCAGTTCAGTTTGAAAATCCCTTTAAAATGGATTACATGAGCTAACCTATATTGGACGCTAGATGAGGAATAACGGGAAATAACTGTCAAGCCATAATGTGATGTGCTAGATCCTCCTGTTCTGATATAGTGGAACCGAATTCAAAACGGACTTTATTAAGTCATCATTGGATTAACAACAACAGTGTGTGTCTTCCGAGTTCCTACTGGAAATTAGTCTGGCTGTGACTCAAAGCACTGACCATTTCAGGAACACATCGGCTATATTGACAATTGGCAGAATAGGAGAACATTCCATGGCTTCGTATGGTTTGTAGAATCGAGCAAAGATGCCTTTTTTGTTTACCACCATTTCTCATCCGTCGCGCATTGATAAGTAATTTCCATAAGTTAAAACAGTTCAACTCTTACTTCAACATTCTTTCCTATGTACTAGTAATGTAAACGACGTACCATTGTGTCTAAAAGCCAATTATGTTTTCGTGGTGAAACTTCCAAAGCTCCGTAAGCTTGCCCTTTACATGCAAAGGCCTTCTATGTTTTGTAGAACAAAGTCGACCTGTGCAATCAGAGGTAGTAAGTGACACTTCAAGAAGCGTAGACAGCCCTGTCTTTGGTGACCAAGCATCTTTAGAATTACCCCACTCTTCTGTAATGCAGAAGCTACTGCTATTCATCTGGTAAAAATAGGCGCCCTCATGGTACGTTGCAGCCAGGGAAATTCTCCAATGATTCTCAAATATGACGTAGTTCACTAGTTGTAGGCTTTATTATCATCAGTATTGCACAACGTTTTATATTAATAACTCGACAACAAGAAATGTAAATCACGAGGTTCAGGCAATAAGCGGGTTTTTGACTGAAAATTTCGGTATCGAATTCAGCCACGAAATACAAGCTTTTTGATCTGAAAACTAATAAAGCTATATAGGTGTCAGCGGGGACTAACAGGAAACAATACCTATGTTGTTTCGCATTGCGTACGACACGCAGACTTCCTGAAGGCCTTCACGGCATTACTCAGGGCCCAGACGGGTAAAATGAGCATGAAGACCACAGAAACAAGTGAAATGCCGTTGGCTACATCAGGGTGGGGTTGCAAAAGTGCGTACTGCAGGCAGGAAAATGCCCCCGCGATAGAGGCACTGATTCCATAGAGAGTTCCGAACTGTTCAAGAGGAAAGCCGGTAAGAAGGAAGGAGGCAAAAGTGCTAAAGAGGAAGCCTCGCATGATAACTATGAAGAAGAAGTTTGCATGATAAGCCTCCTGTTTGGGCACAAAAACGAGACAGCTGCTTACTACGGTGGCCAAGATCATAACAAGCATGGCGATCGACTGGGGACAGAGGAGCAACCAAAAAACCGCAGAATCGCTTGCCGTCACCTTTCTGCCACAGCCTACTTGTTTTGTGGTCAGTACGCGAGATATCAGTGGTCTGAATGTAGCTCGCAGTACATCGATGGTCGAGCCACAACAAAAGCCTGCTATGATTCCGCCACCAAGGACAAAAGAAAGAATTCTGCCCATCCGGTCCACGGCGTCTGTTTGACCAAAATGGAACTGACTCAGGATACCGAGTTGTGTGAGAAAGAATGTAAATCGTAGAAGAGAACAAGAGAAGAATAATAGGCCTAGTAAGAAAGGAGGGGAAACGAGAGATTTGGTCACGGTGGGGAAGCGTCGGTGAAGAATGTTGGCAATCTGTTCCTCCTCGTCTGCAGAGGGTTCAACCGTCGCGCGGTTATCGCCTGAGGCGGTATCTACCGTTATCTTCCCAACCTAGGCAGAAGAAAAAAAACGACGGCGTAAGCCGTTTTTCTCCACCACGTTAGCCGCGAAATGTTCTACTTATGGAACGCATAACGTAGTTTATCTGCTACCTGTAACCGTGGATTCTATAACTAATACATATGATATGTGGCGTTTCTGATGAAATTTTTACCGAAATTATGAGATGTTTTATTCGACTGGACATGATTACCTAGGCAGGATTGCAACATCGATTAGCATGCAACATAATTCCGAGATATTTCAGTCATCCTAGGATGTCGACTTTTGAGTGCGCCTCTTTCCGGCCGTTACAAAGTAGTTACTTAAGTAGAATGCATTTTTCGAGTGAGTTTTGAGACCCTTTTAAATTAGAATACATTTTGTACAATATACATACAAAAATATCCCCTTTTTCACGCGTCTGACAACAAACCCCATCTTCCTAAATTTTTTTACTCATAAGAGATAAACTTTCGTTTTCCAAAGTTGTTATTGTGGGATTTTTTATAATGGGAAATTTGTATTGAAGTAACATTATCTTTGTCCGTTTATTAGCGCTTCTTCTGAAGTTAACAACGTGGTCAATTACCCTTGCAAAATTTTATGAGTTCCATATGGTAATTTCTTAGTAGCTTATGGGATCGTTCGATTTGTCCTACATATAAGGCATACAGTTGTATTTTGGAAACTTGTAACGCAACTAAAATGGTAAATTGGGCCCAAAGATTTTGGTAAATTGATAAACACTTCTAAAACCTACTATGAATACATGACCTTGACTTTGATTTAGGAAAATAAACGTCATTAAAAATTACTGTCCTTTCATATCTTAGAACACAGCATTAGCATTTGTTTTAGATTCAAACCTGCCCCTTACAAAATAGAAGCTACACGGAAGAACTTTTCGTCCTTTAATCGTACTGCATTCCAGAACACTGCTTTAAAGATATTTTGTCATTTTGCTAGGTCACGTACAATGTTCACAGTTTCCTAAATATCCCCTTTTGGGGTGATACAGTTTGGAAAAGAATTTTGCAAGGGCATTTGAACTGTAGAGAAAATTTACAACCGTACCAAAATAATCGTACCATTGAAGAACTATAAAAATCAACTGTGCCTAAGAATTCCTTGCGTTAAAAGCCCTTTGGAGGCACAAACCTGATTTATAGTCGATATTTGAATAGAGGTAAAGGCCGAGTTTTGCACAGAAATTTAATACTTAAAGGTTTCGACGCAGAATTTTGAAAAAAACTTTTGCATGACAACCTGGGCGCTTTTTTCGTCAAGTCCTTCTCCGTCCTCTCGATCAAGTTTGTCTTCCTTAGTCAGTGGCACAGCAAGAACGTGGGGGGTGCTAAATTTTGACATGTCTTCCAGTTTGTTCGTGAGAATGAGGAGGCTGCTAAAAACGTTGAGAAGTAGACTGACAATGGATATCGTCAAGAATATCGCCCTGAAGGAAATACCGGCCTCGTAGACTATTGAAACTACGGCAAATACGGAGGCTGACGAGTCGTATGAGCCGGTAATTAAAGCCAAGACAAGAGCAGAGGCTTTAGTGAAGAGTTTGCTAATTGAAAAGTTGCAGATCAAGAGGGCGATTCCACCAACGGAGATACAACCACCTGCTGGAAACAGGAGCCAGGAGTGGCTGGCTGAAGTAAATGCGAAGAGCAGTGCGCCGAGAGCGAAGAGCGAGGCGGCAAATAACTTAACCACTCGCAATCCGATATTGTCCACTGCCAGACCGATTATCAGAAGCATAATCATTTGCAGTACTGTGTAGGTGGTGAATGCGTAGCCGTACACCGCTGTCTGTTCAGCGCAACCGATGGGCAAGCGGCTGTTATTGCAGACATGACTGTAGATGCGTTCCGTCTTCAGAACTGGATAGAGCGCGTTAAATCCAAAAATTATGCCGCCGAAGAATAGCATCTCGACTACGCCAAAAATAACGCCCAATGTCTTTCTCACAGGAAGCGGCAGAAACTTGTCCAGCCTTATACCTAAGATAAAAGAGATAAACTAGACACTTGGAGAAACAAAGTATCGCATTGCGTTTAAGGGAGACTAGTTGCTTACGGCCCCCAAGGAGCCAATGGAAATTGTTTAGCAACTAAACACTGAGTAACATCAATCTGCAAACACAAACGAGCCTTGTACATGTATGTGGACATAAGAAAATACGTCATATTACGACCGTGCTCATGTATGCAGCACATTCATATGACCATATGTCGCGTTTTATAGGTTTTGTCAAAGCAGGGCAGCAACATTAAGGCGATAGGCCTGCCAAACGTTCATTTACGGTCTCCAGCAAATGTAAATCTAGAGCCTCGGGATGGTGACTCTAACTCCAGCGGGCAAACGAAACAAAGTTCATAGTCACCGCACATGTTACTTGCGCGCGCTTTCCCTAGGCCAATCGGCTTCCGAGCGTACATTATTTGTAGTCGGTGATAAAATAATTGCGATATGCTCATATTCAGAAGGAGAGGTCTGCTTTTCTAACATCCACGTTTATAGTCAAATTTCGATCATCTGGCCGAAAATGGACATGCAGGGAATGGCCAATGCAGCCTGTGCAGTGCCTGTCCAAGGAGGCGATGCCGTTGTGTAACAAACTCGCGGTTATGCCAGTCTGATAAACAGAGTACACACTTATTGGAAGCATATAGCAGCGATACGTTTCAATGCTGAACGAAAAGGTGGCGTATCGCCTATATATACGAGTAAATAACGTATTCAGAGAATAACAGCAGTGCTCAGGTTTGTAATATTTTGCGGTTCACACATATGACGGTGAGCAAACGTCGGCGCATAATAACACAGAAAAAGCCCGTACGGCAAAAGCTCTAGTATCGTTAATTATAGGGAGACGGATGGTCTTGTACAACAATATGCATAGCTTTAAGCTTTGTGTGAGTAAATTTCCTTTTCAAAGAGACTACTCAAATGCTTAAAAGTTGATTTTAATAAAAAGCATTTTGCATTAAAATGTAATAATTCGGAGTTTTGCGCCTGCGCAGAGGAACCAGTGAACGATGATTTCTTCCGACTTCGAGTCCAGTGGATTTAGTTTTTACTTTCTTCAGATTCTAGCCGTTGCTGACATCATTTTTAAAGTTTATTGCCTAATTATACTGGGTAGACATTAGCATATTATTTAAGCTAAACAAAAAACTGTTTGAGGATTGTATGAGTTGACTGAGAGGAAAATAAAAAACCAACTTTAGGTTGAGCAAAATATAAACCAGGAGTAGAGTTGGCTTCGACAGTTATTTCTATAGTGCCGCCAAACAAAGTTACAGCTATACTGTCGGTCCGTAATACTGAATGCTCTCCACAAAGGGACCAAAGGTAACGATGCAGCGCGAAATAATTGGTTTCTAGGTAAAATAGAGGTTTTCTATTCTTGTCCACTATGTAGACCTCAGCAGCAATAGGTTTACTCATTTTGAGCTTTAAAAGTCGTGGTTGTGTCCTTATATGTTCACGCCAAGAAAAAACGAATTAAGAGAACTGACCGCAGTATTACCTCTCATTTTAAGCACTTTTGCGTTTTGTTGACAGTTGCAATTTTCAGGTGCGTGGCCAAAAACACGCTTTACAGTTGGTGTCTAAAAAGTGCCTACGACAGAGTATTATGGCCACACTAGGCATGCGACCTTTAAGATTCGTAAACACGGCCAAGATGCCACAGCAATGATCTACAGTAAGTTCAAAAATATTGTGCCACCCTAGGCGACTTTTTTTGATGACCAACAAGTCATCATTGATGGCTTTTGGCAAAAATACCGGCATATCCATCCACGTTGTATTTAGTATAACCGAGATTTCCACCCCGCATAGGGTTGGAATGTTAGCTCCAAAATGCGACCGTAGGTAGTAACTGCATACTTTTTCAGAATAAATTGAGCATCTGTCTTCAAAAAGTACCTTAATGGAAAATCTGACGCACTTGTGTACTTCTGCTCACAACCTCTACAGCAAAAGCTAGTTATGTGCATTTCACACGCGACTGCAAATTCTGCACATGTTAATTAGTTTTTGATCCAAATTTATACTCATTTCTGAAAAATCAGAACTCATATGTCTAACTCGAGCGAAGAAAGCGCTCTTGTTTTGCTGGAGCGACTGCCAATGAAAGTGTTTTTGGAAACCATAGACTTTCAGAAGACAAAACTTGCGCAGGGAAGACTGAAATCTAGGGTTCCTAACGAAGTTCCCTGCCGTTATTAAGGGAATTAAACTAGTAAGTTAAGATAGTCAATTTATTAAAGGAATGAGGCTTTCGCCCTTGAGCTCCCTATTCATATCGTTAAACAGAAATAATGTCATCAATTACATCAGTAAATGCGGAGAGTTCAAAAGTTCATGGCAAGTGTGAGCCAGGCGCAAACTGCCGCCGCTAAAACAATCGTGATTATATGTACAGTAGTTTCTCAACAAATGAGCATCTGGTCAGTACTTAAAGGATTCGACACATTTGGAAAGAACCACCGCATCAGGGAGTTTGTTCCATGTGTTTAGTCTACAATTATTAACCGAATAGGATATGCAAACCTGTGAGGTGTGGTTATAAAATAACATTGGGTTGGATCCACATATTCCTACATCTGATGAAACACTCCGCCTCGCACATCTCGTAACAGGGAAGATATCGTAGCAATTTTTCGTTAGCCTCACGCGGCATTCATTGGGTTAGCATCAGCATTGCGCGTTTGTAACAACCGTAGTCAAAGACAAGATGAAGGGAAAGTACTGGCCAACTGTAAGCACCAACCTTTCGGACACATATACTGTAATGAGTTCCTTAACGTCATGGAACTTTATAGTGCTGCATAAAATATTACAGATGACCCACACGTATGCAATTGCGCAGAAAAATTTTACAATTCAAAGTTTTATTGATGGTCTTAATTGAGTGGCCTTGTAGTAACTAGGCTATGGGGAATTCCAGTGCAATTTTGTCCCATACAAAAAATTTTCTGTTTGCATCATGGAGGAGTACTACTGCCAATAATTTGGCGGTTTGTTCTAATTTACATGATCACCATTTGTTTCTTAGTCATTTGTCCGATTTTGGACCTCAGGCGGCCATATTTGATTGACGATCTCCTCTTTTAAGCTATTTCAAGTGATCACGTTTTTGTCCCCATTATTACTCTCACATGTGTTTGACATAGGTTGAAACTGTCAAACGAAATGAACAAAGGACTATTGACGCTTATCGTATTTGATGGGCATAGACTTTTAAAAGAATCAAACATTAGCCTTACCAATACAACTCAAAATGTGCGGTGGTCAATGTTAATAAGGAATTCAGTTGTAATAATGAAATGCTTGGTATGACAGGCTGCGCAAGTACAAAACATTCGACTGATTCAGATTAAAACCTCCCAAAAATCACAGAAGTGGTTATAGTGTCTTTTAAATGTCGCGTTAATCGCAGATGACAGTATGTTCAGCAAAATATGAAGTTGAAGGAAATATACTTACACGAACAAGATAAGCCAGACGTCTAGCTTGCGTTTTTGTAAACGCAAATTTCAGTGCATACACTCTTGTTGTAATTGAGGTGGAAAAGCTGTTTCATGAAATACTTCGGACAAAACACAGTCGTCCCCATGGACGTCATTTTTAACGCGCTTCTCCCCTACCTGTTTTCTAAGTTCATAAACGTCTGAGGAAAGCAATTACCGGCAGAGTTTTTGAAAAGATATAACGTTTTAAAACAGGGCTTATGGTTTTACACATGAATTAATATGCACACATTGATGTGTGAGTGAATTCACCCAAGTCTAAACCAGTGGAGAACCAATGTCGACAATTTACATACTAAGGTTTAATACTTTCCCCAGTATATACGTCATGGTATAAACGTTATTTAAAAGCAAATATTTGCTTTTTAATAATTATATTTAACATACATTTTGGTATAATTATACCCAAACTATATTTTAACGTAGTTCAGTAGTGCAGTTTTCTGTAAAAATATTTTATTTTGGTTTTATACGTTGCTAGAACGACAGGGTGACAGATAACTAGAATCCGAAAAATATCCCAAGTCTAACTTTGTATGTAACAAGGTTTATTTCTCGACAATATAAAACGATTAGATTACCATTCTTCGGAATGTAATTCACCCAGTAAAACTTGAATATAGAAACAGATGTAGCCGGATTATGACAAAATGGCAGCAGTCAACAAACATTGCAATTTTATGATTCCTCCAAAATATCAGACGTTTAAAGTAAATAGAAATCATCAAGGAAAGGGACATCAGTCCAGCTGGTTAATGGTTCTTTTAGAAAAATACTGACACAAGCAAATAAAACGTGCTTATGACTCACAGAAATTTGTCGACCTCATCTTGGTTCGGATCATATCACCTAAATCCTTAAGGCGTAAATATAAAGAAACGCCGTTTGCGTTATTTGTTTAAATGACTTCAATGTGATAATATCTCGACGAGTTGCTCAACTTGCGGAAGATCTGTGCTATTCACTCGTTCGAATGGCTTATTGTATTTTCTGAAATATTTGAGACGCCAGTCTGGAAAAGCTGCATGGCAGGCAGTTTGCTGGTCAAAGAGAACTTAATTTCTCTGTGTAACTGGATGTGCGCGCGTAGTGAGTGAACAGTGTGGGAATAAAATTTCCGTTTACCTTCCCAGGTGATGCTTGGCTGTTTCTGTCGCTTCACGTGCGAAAGCAAAGATGTACAAAAATCCAATTATATCCATCAAAGATAAAAGGTTTAGGTCTGAGAACTTAGAATAACATGTTTGCAAACGTAGTTCCAAATTTTCAGCCACTTGGCAAATTAAACGCATGTCTCGGAAAACGAAATAACAAACTTCAAGCATTTTGCCGGTGACGGCACTAAACAGTGTCTTCAAGCCGCAGAAGTAGACAAACAAAAATATCAGACAAATAACCCTGCAAACGTATGACGCTTTTGCGTGGTAAAACAGAATGTCTATCAGAATTAGGCAAATTGTCTCCACGAGATAAGACAGGAAATGAGAACCGATGCACTGCCAAGAGGCCTCAAAACTGTATTACAGACGAAACGGATTCTGCGCTTGTTGGTCGCTGTGTCGGCTGTGAGGTACTTGAAAAGCGAGTCCAGACGCTAGAAGAGAAGCAGAGCCTACTGACGGACATCACTATGGCTATTCTGAAGCACAGTAAAATAGAATTACCAAATAATCCGCCAAATTTCCGATCAATAAGCGACGAACCTCCTACTAATAAAGGCACTAGCGCGGAAAAGTCGAAGCCATTCAGGAAGAGGAAGCGAGTTATGTCTCCAGGGGAAACTCCAGACAAATCAGTTCCGGTGGATAACGCGGCGGTCGACACTAATGCATCAAAAAAGTCAGGTTTCATTACCTGCTATAGTAACTAAACCTGCCAAATCATCGGACACTAAAGTTGGGAAAGCCAGGGTGACCCTCAGAAGATCTGTTAGAAACTACAAGGACTCGCCGTTATTCTTGGAAGGTAATGCTGCTACTCCACTTAATCACAAGGCCAACTGCCCTAACCATTCCGTTTATGGAAAAGGACGCAATGAGCCTTCGTGAAGTACATTGCAACAGGGTAATGATTGTAAGAGCTCCACTGCCGGAGCAAGTAAGTCACATGAAAATCCATGCCCTAAACTCCCCTCGCCGGTCGAAAATCATTCAAATGTCGAAGTGCCAACATCCGTCGGGAATACTACAGTAGCATTATATCGTCCTAGCGCGGTCGGAACAGCAATGAGCTCTTCCATAAATCGTAAGCAAAATATTGTCATAAGGGACGCCCCAGAATCCACATCCTGCATTCCGAAGGAAAGAGTGACGCACGACCTAGACCTGCTTCACCAGTACGCCAGTGCCGTCCTGAAGGATGGGAAAATATTCAATGTTAAAAAAGCCTTCCGACTAGGCTAAGCGGACCCAAATCGTGACCTAAAAACATTCACAAGACCCCTGAAAGTTATTTTGCAAAACGAAGTCCAAGCAACGCTTTTGTTAGAAAGTAGAACCACTTTACGCAACTCGCCCAAGGAAGTGTTTTTTCAACCCGACTGCGAACAGAGGGAAAGACTGAAAATGAGAGAACTGAGATCAGAATTGAAGGAGAGAATTGGCAGAGGAGCGAAAGGGCTGAAGGTCAAAAATGGACAAATAGTCCAGACAAAGGGGTCTTTCCTGTGGTCGGAACCCGTCACAATGAAGGCCGGGCCTCTCCAACGAATCAGTCATTGAAGGTTATCTCCGCAAATGTGCAAAGCCTCTTCAACAAACTAGACTAACCAAGAGACTTAGTTGATGAAATTAAGCCAGACGTTATGGCATTCACATAAACGTGGCTTACTGAAGATATCGCAGATTCAGAAATACCACTTAAAGGATATCAGCACTTCAGGTGAGGCAAATTAAGACGAGGAGGAGGAGTCATTTTTATGTTACTTGCAAGCTGAGCGCTATGGCTGATGTACATAGTCTGGTACGGGATGTGGAACTGCTAAGCGTTACCCTATCTGCTAAGAATTTTCGATCACTGAAGCTTTCGGTGGTATACCGTTCACCTAACCATACTTCTGTCCAAGATCTCATGCTCATATCCGAAGTGGACAAAGCTAGCGACAAGAAAAATGGCCTTATCGTTGGGGATTTGAACGCCCCTGGCATTTATAGGCTAACGTGGACTGCTCAAGGGCCGCAAGACAGCTTTAATCACAAACTACTGCAATGGGCAACGGACAAACTTCTCTGCCAGAATGTTATCTTTAGAACACGGATCAGGGAAGGACAGCACTCGAACTGCCTTGATCTTATTTTTACCCGAGAGGAGGAAAATGTGTTAGACCTGCAGGACCGACCGCCATTAGGGTCAAGCGACCACACACGCTCTACTTCGAGTACTCACTGTTTTCCAGACCCGCTCAATTCGATAGGTGGGAGAGAAACATTTGGAAAGGGGACAATTCTCTCATTAGGAGGGAAGCGGCAGCCGTATCATGGGAGACCGAACTGAATGGTCGAGCAAAAGACAACTGGAATACTTTCAGTTCCTTACTGAAGGAGGTTGTTTATTCCAACTTTCCTCTCAGAAGAAAGACTATCACAAACCGCCCAAAATGGATAAACCCGGACTTAAAGGCCTTTTTCAGAACAAGGAATCACCTGTTGAGGCGTTACAGACTAACTGGCTCTGAAGAACACTTACAGGCATATAAGCGGTTACGAAACGTTTGTCAAAGAGAGGCCTCAAAGCTGCGAAGGAAGTTTGAACTGAACAAACTTCGAAATTCATTAGAGCATCCGAAGATTCTATACGGCTAAACACGAAGTACTAAAAGGACTCAGGAGCTGATCCCTGCTCATAGGTCTGCAGATGGAAAGGTGAAGACAGATGACCAGGTTAAAGCGTCCCTCCTTTCCGACTTCTTTCAGTCCGTCTTCACCCGAGAACCTAGTGCTATATTTGCCCATCCATCTATTCGCCAAACAACCTCTCCTCCCAGTACCCTTCCCCCCCCCCTACCAACTCCCTACCCTCCTTAATCGAAGAACCACTTTTTTCATCGACCATTGTTAGGGCCGAGCTACTCCGGCTGAAACCTGCCAAATCGCCTGGCCCAGATAGAATTCCCGCCCTCGCACTTCGGGAACTTGCTAATGAACGGTGCAAACCCTTATTCGCAATATTTCAAAAGTCATTTGAAGACGGCGAGCTACCGGAAGAATGGAAGTGCGCACTCATTACTCCGATCCATAAAGGAGGCTCAAGACTTGACTGCGGAAATTATCGTCCCACCGGTTTTACT